ATGTAATTATTTTCAATTTGGGTCCTTATTTGTAATTATTTTCACTTTTCGGGCCCCTATATGTAAATTCCCCTAAATTTAAACTTATGTCAGTTAAAATAACTTACGTAAATTACCTATCCCTAGTGCAGACCCGTCAATATGATGCAGACCCACTGATATGATTGCATACTGAATTATGCAATGATTATTATTCTCATAAACCAAGAAATTAAAAATTTGGCATCAGCTAAGCCAATCGGTCGGCTAATATCGGCTACGGCTATAGCCGGCTATAGCTGGTTATAGCCGTAGCTGATTCCATCCCTAATCTGGATAGCTAATGAATCTAGAACCGATAGGCCTTCGTGAACATCTGGCAGTTTCATTTTTTCTTTACAAAGTAATAATAGTAATGAAACTATTATTAGCCATGTGAAAAATAGAAAAAAAGCTATTTATTATTATGGTACAGAAAAAAAAAGACCTGGGGTTTGGTCGTGGAGATCTTAGAATATGTAATGGTAGAAATACTTTACTATGACATTGTAAACAAGAAGGTTATTAAATTCTAATCAGAAAAATCAATGAAAATAAATGGTTTGTTATAGACAAGTTTGAGGTGTTTCAAATCTTTAGACTAGTCAATTAATTTTATAATTCTGATAGTTTATTAATTAATTCTTATTGTGAGAATTATTGCATTTGACAGCTCTTACTGGAGGACAAAAGAGAGAGATATACATATGCATACCATGTAATAAGTGCCCAACATTTCGTTCTAAAAATAAAGTAATAATAAAAGTCCATCTGCTGCTAAAACAAGTAACCTTAATTACCGTGTATAACTCTAAAATAACACAGTTGCCTGCATAATTAATAATCATCAAGTCAAAAAAACAACATAAACTTACCCAAGTCGTACACTATAAGTACTGAACCTTCAGAACCTTCACAGTGTTGCTAAAACATAAAATGCACGATTGAGTATGCAGTTGGCTGTAAAATCACCTTCGTATGTCTATGGTCCAAAGCTAAATTTGGCAACTAGGACTAGAAGTTTCTCTCCAGACCATTACAACATACTACATATTTATTACTACATCAATGAGATCACCAGATCGTGAATAATACCCGGTACTATTCAATTTAAAAAATGAAGTTCTCAAATAAGATCCTGAGTACTGTATGCAATAGCAAATAGTATTATATAAGTTACATTTTTTTATTTAGAAGAAAATAGTAAAATGAGATTGAAACAAAATTTAGGCACTGTTAAAAAATGGTAGGGAATTGTAGAAATCAAACTTCGGACTGCCGCACTGAAAGTCGACAAGCCAATCACTACACAATCATTCTTAATTTTGTTAAAATTATCTTGATTAATTTATTTAAGAATTAATATTTGTATATCCTTTACAAAATTAATGTTTTTTTTTCAACTTTAAGCAATGACATTTTAACAACCACTGAGTCAAATTCAATGTTTTTTTTTATTGGAATTTAATATATCTGTAGAATTCAGATAAAAAAAAAAACAAGAGCATTGAATTTGGCCTAGTGGCTTTCGAGATTTTATAACTTAGAAAAAATCTTGGCGCAGCTTCTATTTTGATAGATTTTTTTTGACTTTGAGAGATGTACTCAAATAGAATTTATTTTATACTAATAACTTAAAGATATAAGTTTTTTTAATAGTAAAGCAATATATATTACATTTTATTTATTTTCACTATATAAATGAATATACGCAACATCAATTAAATTTCGTAAAGATGAAAATTTTAATTCAAATTACAAAAGAGATTAAAACTATTAGCAATAAAAATTATTCGAATTACGTTAAATAATTATTTTAAAGGTTCATATAAAAAATATTGCAATGGAGAAATTTTTGGTGAAATTACTTTTTTACAAAAATAATTTATACATCGGTGTACAGTATATGTCTTTCACGAAGTTTTCTTAATTTCAAACACTTTTAAGACATTTTTATTCGTGGAGTCAAATCCGCACATGCGGTAATGTACATCAATTTTCTTTAGCAAATAATCGTTTTACACAAAACAGGATTTTTTACTAAGCAAATCGAACTTCAACCACTAAGTAAAGTTATTGAAAATGCTATTCTTTTTTAAATATCTTCAAATTTTGATGCGATTTGGTTAATTTTTCATTAATCAATTTTCACATTATACATTTGACGCAGAAACTAAATATTCTGCCTTAAGACAAATAATGTGAAAATCGATTAATGAAAAATTAACCAAATCGCATCAACTTTACTTGGTGGATGAAGTTCGATATTCTTATTAAAAAATCTTGTTTTCATGAGTTATTTTTGATGCGCCAAATTACCCTGCGCCATTATACCTCCATTTACTTTATGTACTTACGTAAATTTGAATTTGCATTGTTAAATGTACACGTGTGAATTTAGTACTTACGTATTTAAGTTTAATTGCACCGTAATATTTATTTTTAAAAATTTATACCGATTGCAGAACGATCTATGTTTTCCAATTTGAGTCAGTTAAAGTTGACATAAAAATTGGGAAATGGCTCAGAAAATTTCTGTCAATTTTAGTAAGAATTAAACAAAAAAAGTATTAAGTTCTAATAATTATATTAAATTATATAAGCGTATATATTCTTAAAACACATTCATTTTAAGGATTTATGATTTTGAATATAGAAAATGTAACCGGTTAAAATTTTTTAAAATCAGTGATTTTTCTAGAATTAGAAATTTTAAGCAAAATGGACCATTACTGCTGCTACTACAATAAGGCTAAACAGAAGTTTGTATCCAGAAATGCTTGATCCAGTGAAACTTGCAGCAGCATTGGTCGTTGGTGCACTTGATGATGTTGATTTCCTAAACAATGTATAGCATGGTTAAAATTGATTACTTAGATGCACTAAAACTTGTGCTTAAATCATAAAATACTTACGGAGCTGAACTTTGAGTGCCTGCAGGTGATTTAGCAGATGGTTGAGGCTGAGGCTGAGGTTGAGGTTGAGGTTGAGGTTGAGGTTGAGGTTGGGGTTGAGCTGCTGCAGAAGTTGCGGCAGGTGCAGCAGGGGCACTGGCAGCACCAGATGCTGCTGGAGGTGCAGCTGCAGTGCCAGAAGCAGCGGGTGGGGGATTGGCACCGCCGGGTTGGAAGACAGTGAAAGTTCCAGAATATTTATCACCAGATCCGTCATTGAGAGCAAGGTAATAAGTTCCCGCGGGAACATTGACAGTCCATTGGTAAGATTGAGTAGAAAGGTTTATATTAGCGCTAATTGTAACGGTGTTCTTAGTCGCGTTGTCGATAACACTTAGAGTACCAGGAAGAGGATTCGGTTGTGCGGTGTATGACCAGGTGATTACGATATTGGCACCAATTGCAACATTACCGGCAGGTGTGTTAATTGATGAAACCTCTGAAAATGTAGATGCAAAGTTAATTATTTAATTTAATTAATTCTAATTAATTATCATCTTTTATTCCTCTTGGATGATATTTTTTATTCTGAATTATTCAATTCACGAAATTTACATTCAAAATAAACTAGATAAACCAAATTACATCTCTCTTTTACTTGTAATAATAATTATATAACATTTTTATAAAACTCGCTTTAACTAACATCAAAGCGAAAAATCAATAACTTACGGGCTAAAGTAGACCCAATAAGGGCCAAGAATAGAGTGAGGAAATAAATGAATCGTGACATGGTTACTTATGTCCAGGTTAGATAGTTTTTAGCCTTAGGTATTTTTGTTCCTGTGGCAAGTGATTAAGAGAAACGAACAAAAGTGAAAGACATTTTCTTTTATAGTTCTAGGTATGGAGTAATCTGAATAGATTTCAAATAA